GTTTCCGTTTGGTCCCCATTAACTCTGTTAACATACATTTGGTTTGGTTTGAGGCCGTAGGTAATCTCATGATTACTGGCCGGTTATGTCCTCAACCCACGGGGGCGGGTATGGGGTCATGACAGAGTGGTATCAGAGCATGAGTTAATAGCTTACACACTTGTCCAAAAGAGCAATAAGCGTCTAGAAAAGATCTAGGATGCATTCATGTGATAAGTATGAATTTGGAAGCATAGAGAATATGCCTAACTATTTTGGTATGAACGATTATGTGCTATAAGTTTGTGAATTGCTTGCATTGCAATTGTTTGAATATGTGTGCTTTCTAGTAAATGCATACTTGTCTATTTTTTGTATAAGGTATAATGTAAGTTTAATCTGGAGAATACTGCTTATAGATTGTGGAACTGTTTTCATTTCGGAGGCTTGGTGCTTGTATTAATTGATTGGCACTGATTTCATGGGAACCTGTTATGTTCTGACGTCTTAATGGCTTCGAGGATGATCGAAATATGATATGATTGTTTGTTAGTAGTACTAATAGAAGATGGAACATAGACCTAAATCCAGCATTATATAAATTGGCTAGTTGGTGAATAAATGTTTCCATGAAACTGAATTCAGCATTAAAGTTAAAAATATCTACTTGAATAAATGTTTATTGTCTTGAATTACAAGTGCAAGTTACATGAAGATTTATTCAAGTATCTACTTGAACTTGATTCGACTCATTATTGTGAGCCGAATAATTAAAGTGGAGTATCATTTTTTTTTTTTTTGATCAGCAAAGAAGGGAGACTTTATTGATGAAATGAGCCAAAACAAGCAACAAAATACATCAATAAAGGAGGGAAGTGCAAAAAGCATCATAGCAAACACTCCACAATCCCAACTAGGTTGGCACCAAGGAGGAAGCAGTGGAGTATCATTATAGGAAGATTGTTTCCCACAAGGCACAAACAGGAGAGGTAAGAGGGGAAGGGAGCATGGTTCCCTCCTCTTTCCACCCACTTTTGAGGGTAACGCATATGGTAAACTCAAACAGAAAGTTCCTTGCCCCTCTTTTCCTTTCCCCTCAGCTTTCCTTATAAACCCTCCTCCCTTTCCTCTTTCCTTCCATCCAAATAATGAAATCTTTCATTTCCCTCACTCTTCCCTCCTACCAGATGGACCTTAAAGTGAATACTCAAACCTTTAGCACATGCAACATTAGGGACATTTAGATAGAAATTGCAACTTTTTTTCCTTTTTTCTTTTTGGGTACTGTTAGACATTATTAAATGTAAATTCTAGATGTGATGTACTAGACATACATTTCTATAAGCCGATTTTTCTTCTCTTAACTGAGTACCAAGTAAGCTCTCTCTCTCCCTTGTGCTGGTGCTGGTGGTTGGGAGGACTATATTTTTATTTTATTTAATGAAGCGGTATTCAATATCGTATCATGTGGTATTAGACACATCAATAGTGAGCTTATAGTTATAGCCTTATACGTAGACCCAGTACTAAATGAACACTGCAAATGAGTGAAGATGAGCAGTGGTTAAAGCACAATGATGTACAAAAGAAAAGTATAATTAACAATTGAACTTTTATCTAATTATGAGTTAAATAGTATAACAAACTCATGCCTTTCACTTTACATGAAAATAACAGTACACAGGAAGCACCAAAAAAACATTAGAGGTAAAGCATTTAAAAATTCAAAAGTAGCAAATTGTCATCATACTCATTAGTACAGTACATCAACTTATAATATTCTTACAGTATAAAAAAAAATCTGAGTCACCAAAGGAAAACAGTAACTGAAAAATATAAGGACAACAAACAGAAGTGCCCCATTGTGAAAATCTCCATAACATACGTAGCAATTTTCAATGAAGGCATTAAAGCCTCTAATTGAGTACACTCATAGCAATATTGATGCTTATTTCCAGATGATCCAACAAGAGAAGTAGCATTGTCAGTTGTCAAGGAGTCTACATTCGCGAAAAGAAGGATTCAATTAAAAGAGAACAAGAAGCAGCAGAAAATGAAGTAACTTATCATTAATTAGGAAACAGGAATCACCCACCATTTGATTCCAGTGACAGGGCACAATGTCATAATGTTCAAGATCTGACATGTCTTTTGCAGAACTAGGCTGATTGAAGATTTAACTTTAATTTTCTGTGGTCTTTGTGCAGGACCAGATAGAGGAGTCCTAAACATCTTTCAAGCTGACCAGTCATTATCTTCACCCGGAGGAGGTGGGCTTTGAATGTCATTTGTTTGTGCTGACTAATTGTGTGTTGATTGTGAATGGATCCATGAAACTAATGTTCAATACTCCAACTTAAACTTGCTTTAAAATTTTATAGTGATTTGCAATGCTCTGCTGAAAGTACTGGTTCCTATATTTGCAGTATTGTTGCATTTGATTCCAGTTCAAAATTACTACCCCTTTTTTCCCCATAAATGAAAATCAAGGGTCATAAAAAAAATGGAGTGAGATTTAGATCTGAAATGTCTTTTGCAACTGCTTTATAACTTTCTCAAAAAAAAAAAAAAAAAAGAAGAAGAAGAAAAAGATTTGATATTGTTTTGATCTGACATGTCTAACAGGTTTGTACAGTTATGGAGAATTGTAGATAAAAACAATGATTGTTATTGTTTTGATCTTTAAATTTCAATTGCTTAGTGCATGAATGTGATACAATTGGTAATTTTCTTCTTTATGTAGTAACAGTTGTACACAAGTATTATAGTTAGTTCTATGATTTAGCTGATGCATTACATGATTTTAGTTTATGAGCTTATTTCAAATCATATATTATGCATGAATCGCCTCTTTGATGGTTCAAAATGATTTGTCTCTCTCTCTCTCTATATATATAACAATACACATTGAGCAGCATTGCCACACACACACACACACACACACATATATATATATATATATTTGTGAAGGATGTTGCACTCATCCCATGGAATGCTGCATTAAAAGTCTCTTCACATATATTAAAATTATTGTCTCCTTAATGTGAGCAGCAGCAGCAGCATTAATGTTTTTTTAACTATTATTATTTATGTTTCAAGTAATTCTATGCTTGTTTTTTGGTTTTTTGGATTGTCAAACTAATGGCATTCATGTTTTCTCAGCTCCTCTCCATCAGATGCAGTAGTATTATAGGCGGCTTTGCGTCCCTGATAACTTTTCCAGAAAATGGAATGCTGTTGTTCATTGCTTAACTTTGGAGGCAAAACGAACTTCTGTAGTGGAGGTATGTCCTTAAACCTAAATTACTAATAGGAATGCTAGTAACAACCTCAATACATGGGTTCTAAAATCAGTGTTCGCATAGGATAAGGCTTGAAGCTGTTTTTTGGTTTGTACTTATACTTTGGGATAATTGATGGACCACTGTCAGATACCTTCTTAATGATCTATTACATGTTCTGCTGGTCTAAATTCAAAGTTGCTATGATCCTTTATTTACTTTAAAAGAACAATTTTTTTAATAAATGTCTGCTTTGTTCATATGTTTGAAAAAATATTTGTTAGTTTTTTTGATAGATATAAGATTCAAACCCCTAACTGCACAAATCCCTCTCATATGCCATGTTAGTGTCACCCCTCCCCCGCAACAACTAAATTCTTGTAGGTGATACTAGAGTAATAGATTACAAACCCTGATTATGGTCACTTCCTAAAACAGGACAGGGTGACCATGATTATTAATTTATTATTAACTAAAGTCTGCTTGGACATTTTTTGCCCTGTTTTGGTGTAACACCAAACTAAATGAAATTTCTACCTTTACTTTCTTGTTCATGTTACCTTTAGTTTCCATGAAACTTTTTATTTTTTTGTCTAATTTTACAATCATTTGATGTGAAAATATTTTCATAGAAACATTACCTGACATTTTTTATCTTTTTCTTCTGTACAGATGGATGAACTCGTGTAACAAGTTGAATTGTACAGGACTAGTTGGCACTTGTTACATTTTTTCAAGGATTATATATTTTTGGATAGATGTGTATGAAAAATATTTGGGTAGACTAGTAATTATATTTTTAGATAGATGCGCATGGATAAAAATTTAAAACATAATAACAAGTATTTGTTATGTTTTAAATTTTTATGCTAGATGGATATGAATCGGAATTTTAATTGGAGAAATATGTAATTTTGGAATTATTTGTGGATGAAAATTTATAATAATTGCCGACTTTTATTAAACAGGTTAAGGATTGGATAATTTTTGTATTACATTGAATGTTCATGATTTAGATACTTTGTTGGTATGAATGATTCTTTTTAATTACAGATTATATTGAATGGATTTGATGGAATATTTGTCTTCAATTACAAGTTTATTTTATTAGATGTTGGCGACCAAATTGTGGTTTTGCCGGCCAAAATGTTGGTAGGCAAAAGGGTACATTTGGCGACTAAATAATTAGTCGGTAAAATTGATGATTTTGACAGCTAAAGAGTTTGGTCGCGAATAGGTCTATTGCCGACTAAACTTTTAGTCGCGCGAGCATTACTTTTGGCGACTAACATATTTGGTCATGGAATGTGACTTTTGGCGACTAATCTATTGGTTGTGGATTGTGACTTTTGGCAACTAACATGTATGGCCGTGGAATGTGACAATTGGCGACTAATATGTTTGGTCGGGAATATGTCACTTTTCGCGACTAAAGTGTTTTAGCGACTAAATGGATTAGTCGCAGTAATTGTATATTTAGCGACCAAAAATTTAGTCGGCAAATCTAATTTTTTCCCGATTGAAAAAAGGTTTGGTCGGTAATTACTTTTGCCAACCCTCAATTGGCGACTAAAGTGGCGACAAAAAAATTTGGTCGCGGATAACTTTTGCCGACCAAATTTTTAGTCGGCAAATATGACTTTTTGGTCGTGGAATGTATTGCCGACCAAACTTTTTGGTTACGGAATGTGACAATTGGCGACCAAATTTGTTGGTTGTGGAAATGGGCCACAATTGCCGACCAAATTATTTGGTCGTTGAATGTGCGAATTGGAGACTAACATGTTTGGTCGGGAAAATATGACTTTTCGCGACTAATGTGTTTTAGCTACTAAATGGATTAGTCGCAGTAATTATATATTTAGCGACCAAAAATTTAGTCTGCAAATATAACTTTTTCGCGACTAAAAAATATTTTAGTTGCTAATTACTTTCCGCGACCCTCAATTGGCAACCAAAGTGGCGACCAAAAAAATTAGTCGGGGATAACTTTTGCCGACTAAATTTTTAGTCGGCAAAAATGCGAATTCTTGTAGTGGCGACTAAAAAAAAAAATTTCGTCGCTGAAAGTAGCAGTTTCGGCGACTAAAATGGAATTAGTAGCCTAAAGTGAAGACTTTTGGTGACTAAAACAGTTTAGTAGCCAAATGTATAGTTATTGGCGACTAAAAATCAGTTTAGTCGCCGATTATATGGGTTTTAGCGATTAAAAAATTTTTAGTAGCCAAAAGTCAAGGTTTTTGGCGACTAAAAACATTTAGTAGCTAAAAGTATACGTTTTGGCGACTAAAAAATAGTTTGGTCGCCGATTATATGTGTTTTACTGACAAAAAAAAATTTCGTAGCCAAAAGTGAAGCTTTTTGGCTACTAAAAAATATTTAGTAGCTAAAAGTCAACAATTGGCGACTAAAATTTAGTTTAGTTGCCCAAAGTGGAGGGTTTTGGCGACTAAAATTCAGTTTAGTCGCCAAAAGTGGAGGTTTTAGGCGGGAATTAATTCTTTTAGCGACAAAAAAGTAATTAGTAGCCAAAAAGTATAGAATTGGCGACTAAAAAATAGCTTTAGTCACCAAAAGTGATCTCCTATTTTTTTTAGTAAATAATTTATTTTTTACATAAATTATATTAAAATAAAAATAATTATTTTTATATATATAGTTTTGTATTAATACCGGTCAATATACTATATAAATAATATATGTTGCATTTATATTTATGTGATGTTGTAGTGGTATAGTGGAGAGAGTGTGTTTCTAAAGGTTTAGAATGTGAGAGGTTGGTGGTTCGAAACTTGGGAACAGCAGAGGGTAATTTATTTATTTTTTTATGAAATAAGCTTTTGGCGACTAAAATGTGTGGTCGCCAAAAGCTTGACTATTGGCGACGAAAAAAATAGTCGGCAAATGTATAAATAATAAAAAAAATAATTCACTATTGGCGACTAAAAGATTAGTCGCTAAATGTATAATTTTCAAAAATGTAATTGACTATTGGCGACAAAAGCTTTGGTTGCTAAAGACCTGTTTTTTGCTGACTAAAAGTTTTTTAGTCGCCAATACCTCCGGCGACCATGTATTCGTGACAAAACCGGCGACCAAAATATTTAGTTGGGGAAAGTGAAAAGTCGACTTTTGGCGACTAAAAATTTAGTCGCCAAAGGTGCTTTTTCTTGTAGTGCTTGAACGCTCAACCGAGCTACTCAGCGTCATCTCTCCACCGAGCCAATACTCCAACTAATTTATACATAATTTAAGACCACATAGGTAAATATAGGTTTCTAGTAGACTCACCAGGGGCTATGGCCGAGTTCCGAAGGGACTACCATATCCCTGATGATGTCCATCTTAGTTTAGCCGAGCTAGACACCATACCCTGGGGAAAACCGGGCTTCGTTCCCTTCACCCTTCTTTCTATTGTAGAAACCGGACTCCGATTCCCTGTGCAGCCCCTTCTTTGTGAATTCCTCAGACAAACAAATCTCTGCCCTACCCAGCTTTCCACAAACTCATATCGAATAATAAATGGCATTGCCAAGCTAAACCGCCGACTAGGCCTCAACCTCGGTTTAGCCGAGATATTTCACCAATACTCTTTAGGCCAAAACGAAGACAGCTGGGTTTATTATTTAAGCATAAGGCACCGCCGTGAAAAGATAATAAAGAACACCCTGGATAAGGACGTTAATGACGACGGTTTTTTCTGGGCTTCTGGGAATTTTGAAGACCATGAGGCCTAGATCCCAGGCGGCCGAATTAACTGGAACAAAGGAGTCGCCGGTATAATTACCTCAGTTTAGTTTTGTGCTTTCTTTACGGTTGATTTCATTTTCAACCGGCCTAACCGTTGTCTTTTCCCTTTATGTAGATTTGAACCATCTTAAGTCCCAGTACAGCTACCCCAACCTAGACGCACTTCGCGCTGCACTACGATATCCCAATCGTAGCTGGGTCGAGCTGCTCAACTTTGAGCCGACCTACAGATACAGCAACAGGAGGAAGACCAGGGTGACAGACTTCCTCTTGGAGCTCTCTCCTGAACTTGATCCAACCTCGCCTGAAATCAACCTGATCCCACTAACTGCTGAACAAGAAATGGAAAAGAAGAGAGCGGTAAGGGCCCTCATCACCGAGACAAACTAACCTGAGGTACCACAAGCCGGTTAAACACAGCCGGCCATGGTAGCCCTTCCAACCGCGCAACCCTCTTCATCTCAGCCAAGCAAGCGCGCCCGAACTTCCACAACCAAGTCGCGCCTCGTCGATGAAGAAGACACTATTCTCCCCCAAACCACACAACCGAGCCCAGAGCCCGCGGGTTCTGACCGAGCTAGCCCTTCTGAATGGGCCCCAAAACTGACACTCCGGAACCGCGCCATCCGAGACACTGATTCAGTGGTGGCAGACAAAGACCACATGCTCGCCTTCAATCTGGCTAAGAGCGCGTGCCTGCCCCCTGATATGGAACATCATGACCATTTGACCGAGTTAAAGGCCATCTGGTCAGCAACGAAGTTAATGGTGCTGGTAAGTACTCCTGATCGTTTTTTATTTTATACCATTTGTTTGCTCGGTTTTGACTCATATCTGCTACCCCTCCTTTCGCAGGCCATGCAGAAAAACCATATTGCGCATAAGCGAGTGTTGGAACTGCGCAAAACCACAAGGCAGGCCATGGCTGAGGCTGAGAGCAAGACGGCCGAGCTAAATGACGCCAAGCAAAAAATGGCCGAGCTGCAATCGAATGTCGCCCGTCTCATCGGGCTAGTGGATTCGGCGGAGGTCAATAAACAAAAGGCCTTGACCGAGCTGAAAGATCGTTATCTGCGCGAGCTTGCCAAAGTTGAGCAGAAGAAAAACGCCGAGATAACCATGCTCGAGAAGAAAATGGAGGAAGCGAAAAATCGCGGTTATAAAGAGGGTGCAGCAACCTACATCCTGTAGTGCGAAGCTACTAAGGATATATTTTTCAAGTGTGGGTGGAAAGCGGTCGTGGCACAGCTCGGTCACGGTCCAGAGACCGAGGTTTTCCTAAACCCTCCTCCGTACTTCATACCGAGCTATATGGCGGAGTACGCCCACGCCATTCAACAAAAATTTCTTGAAGCTGAGGATGACGAAAAAGAATTTGAGCCTAACAATGCCCCAGTCGTCAATGATCCCACTATTCAGTCAGCTCAGGTGGGGCCACCGGTGGAAGACTTGGTTGACAATGTGACCGAGCTACTTGCTGAAATCGGGCTCCGAGTTGATCTGGATGCGGATCTTGACGACCTCTTTGCTTGATCTTATATTTTCTTTTTTTTTTGGAAAGAAACTGTAGCCGGTCTGAAGTCCCGCTCCTTTGTAACTCTGATTTGAACTTTAAATGAAAGCTTCTTTTGTTTCAACTGTTGTTTCGGTTTACTTCTATGTTTGCATTTACTTTCCAATTGTAATCTGAATGCAGTATAACATTTTCTGGCTGAGATACCTATCTCGGTCTTAACCTTGAAATCTACCTGGTCATACCTACTAACCTCTTCAGCCTAGGTTTTTACCTCAGCTGAATATTACAAAAAGTTGTTTATTCTAGCCAACCACTTTTCAGCCTGGATCCTTATCTCGGTTGAAGAGTACTAAGTGTTGGTTTTCCAGCCAACCACTCGTCAGCCTGGATCCTTATCTCGGCTAAAAAGTACTGAGTGTTGATTTTTTCAGCCAACCACTCTTTAGCCTGGATCCTTATCTCGGCTAAAGAGTACTGAGTGTTGGATATTCCAGCCAACTTCTTCAGCCTAGATCTTTATCTCGGTTGAAGAGCAATAAATGTTGATTTTTCCAGCCAACCTTTTCAGCCCAGATCCTTATCTCGGCTAAAGAGCAATAAATGTTAGTTTTTCCAACCAACCTCTTCAACCCAGATCCTGATCTTAGTTGAAGAGAGCTCAAAGTTGGTTTTTCTTGCCAACTTAGAGCGAAATGTTTGG